TCTAAGAAAGTTCTACGACTAATAATTTGTCCAACAGATAGTCACACACATCATAAGAAATTAAATTTTTCATATTCAATCCCAGCTTGTTTAGAGGATCGAAACACCATTATCCGTTCGTCCCCCTGTTTAAGCCACAGCTATTGCATACTTAACATCTGCCTTAAAATATGATAATTGGTGACTGTAACTGATAATGGGGTCAGTCTCCTAAACAGTAATCCTCTGACCATGTCATATCTTTTTCACCACCGACCGATCCAAAATTAGTACTTAATTGAAGCAGATTTTGCTGGGAATCGACATCAGCAGTGGAGTCTCTGAAAACCAGGGAACACTTACTAGCAGTTTCTCTTCCATTCGAGCACTTTCAGTAACATCCAGTTGTGACTGTAGAAGAATTGAGAGAAGGATGGTCATACCTCTTTGTAAGCAAATTACGACTCGGTCGCTGAGACAGAATAGAATGACTTCTGTTCTCCATTTTGTTTCAGCTTACCCAAAATAATATTGATAATGCCTATTCATATCAAATGATTGAAGGCGATTGGCAGGAAACCCTAACTGACCTAGGTTATGCGCTTGTTAGTACTCATTAGCAAGGCATGTCTCTAATCTCAATGGAAATGATGTCCTCTCAGAATTCAGTCAGTACTAGATAAAATGAAATTGTTTACTCTCAAGTGACTTATCAGTGCAACAATTCATGTTATTTATCTAATAACTATAGGCAGCACAGATGAGGATGTCAAAACCAGGATCGGAAGGGCAAGACAGGCTTTCACTAATCTGAAATCAGTGTGGAGATCTACTGCACTCAGCATATAGCCTGAACAAGATCCGGATTTTCAATACCAATGTCAAGTCAGTGCTTATGTATGGTTCAGAAACTTGGCGCGTTACGAAAAACATGTCCAACAAACTACAGACATGCATCATATAAACAGCTATCTACGCTTTTTGCTGAGGATCAGATGGACAGAATAATAAGAATAAGCAACAAGGAACTCTGAATGGCTGGTTGGCTGGCAATGGACCAACCAAGAACCTATCGTCCAACAAATATGCAGTGGAAGATTGTGGAGATGGATTGGATTGGGCATACACTGAGAAGGCGACTGGGGACATCATCCGCCAGGTCAGTCCGTCGAATGGAATCCAAATGGGAAATGAGGAGTTGGTCTTTGAGGTGAGGGTGACATGGAGGAGATCATGTAAGGAAAAAATTAAAGGTTGTTGACAGTGTTGGCACCAGGTTCAAAAGACTGAAGAGAAGAGAGTGGAATGGAGGCGTGCTACTGAAGCCCACTAGGAACACAAGGGACAAATAATAATAATAATCAAATTATGGGTAGAAGTCTATGAAAGATTTAAAGTCACAGAGAAAAAAGTATCACGATAATATGCGTAAAAAATTGCATCAATATAGGTGTAAAACTTGGGTACTGCGGTAGAATTTAATTCCATATTAGATTTGTTTATTTGATTTATAACACGCAGTGATATGTCATTTAATATGGAAGTAAATAGTTGCAGTCTGAAGTGCCAATATCCTGTTTAAACAAAGTGCATTTTTAGAATGCGGGGCTCCAGAAAGCGATAAATTCAAAATGAATATGGTGTAATCTACTTACAACCTAGGTATTAAGACGCAAGCCAATCAACATATGAGAACTAGTTTCAAGGTTGTCCGGTGTGAATTTCCATTCAAGTGAGTGGCTATAACTAAACTTCCGCTGATAAAATACATGATCAGTCGGTCGGTGAGTAGCAGAATCGACAAGTTTGTCTGAAAATAAAGAAGTTTCTTAGTTTGTAAGTGCGTATATGAGCGAAGTATATGTTGTCCTAATGGAAACTGTCATTTTGACGGAAACACATCTGTATACCTTCATATTTCTCCCATCCTATAACTATGCAGTGAGTGTAGTTGGTATAGTGCATGCATGTTGTGGGATTTTATCCAGCGTCTACAACTATCGGAAGATATCAGTCATTCCACTGAACGAACCAACTAAAAGTTTATCTGTTCTCATCAACAAAATTCGGTTCTGAAACGGAAAATGACCAAGTCAACGACGTGCATAGTGATCTCAAACCGTGGGGCTCATACCTATTATTTATGCATGGCTATTTGAAGTTACATAAAGCCACTGGTCTTCAAGATCATTTCACTGTGTCATTAACTGACCCGTTGGTTGGCAACTAAGTTGGAACCAGTTAGCAAAGAAATGTCTGTCTTTGGTTTGAAAACATACTCAAATTTGCACAAAGAGTGGATCAATTAGTTACGTTCAAGGAACTACAGAAATCATATTTAGAGAAATGATGGATAACAATTATCGGTAAATGAAACCTGTCTCTCCAAACAAAGCCCAACTCCCAAGCTTGATGATGCTGGGCACCAGAAATGTTGGATTCGAGTCTCTAGAGAAATTTTATTGTTAAGTGTGGCAAAGCTGTTATTGATATCCCTTTAAGACCAATTCTTGCTGACAGTTTTGCAAATGAAGGAAGAATGAAACTACTTTCTGTAATTACCAGAACAGTGTTTTATTCCAATTTAACCGGTTGTTTATACTGAATAGTTTATTAGGAAGTTTACGAACGAAACTATCTGTGACACTAAGGCAAAAGAATTCGCCTGTCGGTCACTCACAGTAATGACGAAATCTAATCAAGGAAACTATTTTCACCACATGAAGTAAAGATTTCAGTAAAACGGTTGAAATAGGCTACACATTCACTTCACTTCATCTTAGTTTACCTGTACTTCATCAGATCAGGTTTAATGAATAGAAGAAGTAGACAACTATTGTCTTTCTTGAGCAAAGTTAGTCTACAACTGCCTCACTGAGAAACTTTAAGTACTTTCACTCCACCTTACCACTTTCTCTCTATTCGACATGATTACGACTTAAGATCACCTGTATCTCATGTTAATAATTATTTTCTCGTTGCCTAATGTAACATAATTACTTTCATTTAGGAATTGTCATCTGCATTCAATGTGTAGTGTTACAGCATTTTAAAATCATGTTTCATCTTAGCTGCACGGCTTCCGTTTTCTGAATGTTTCTCTAATGAGCTATGGCTTCACAGATTATGAAACATGTCAGTTCTTGTTTGCTCTGTCAAATGATCACTAAAACCAGATTTCAAAGAGAGAAATCATGTCTTCATACTGTTTTGTGGAAATCATTCTTCTTACTCTGTTCAAATTTATAAACAGTATGCTATCCCGTACAATCATCGAGTCCTGGACTGAATGCAGTCAAGAGTCTGCCTATCAATAAAATCTTAAGAAACTATCCAAAAACGTATATTCATGACAGGTGTGGGAGTAACGCAAGTTAGCCACTGTTCGAACACCTTGAAAACATCTATGGAATAAGATTACCCTTATTGTTTTGTTTCCCTCTCCCTACCCCACCATCAACTGATTTAAGCGGTTTCTGGTTGAATATTTCTTTTTTCAAGTGTTTATAAGATATGTACCTGAAATTGTCTAAATATACATATATCTTTTACAGAATAGTATGTACCAGGAAAGGTTATTTTGCATCACAGCCTGATGAAAAAAAGCTACAGCAGCAAAAGAATTGTTTCATAGTAAACCACTGAAAATTAAGAATGCCCTCATGATGTGATGCATTCGGTCACTATTCGTCACTTCATCTCAAATCACTGAAGTTTCGTCTTTCGAACATGTATTAAACTAGGTGTAAACCTTGGGCACTGTTGTAGAACTTAATTACATATCGGATTTGTTTGTTTGATTTAAAACACAGTGATGTAGTATTATTTACCTGATGAAGTTTTGAGCATAAATTACTGCTCATAATCATATCAAATTGATATAGAAGTATTAAACTGCGCCATAAGGATGAATAATTTATGTCGTCTCTGGCTTGTTCAGGTTTAGCTGCTGCCACATTAGTCACATGATGGGACATCAGGAAGCTAGTTGGATAGGTAGGTAAGCAGTTGCTATTCAATGGTCAGTTATTCACCCTTGAACACTGAACCTTCCTTCGATGAAATAATGAAAACTCCCTGAAATGTGATGGAGAATATTTAGGATCTGGGAGGATTATTTCAGCGGCAATGTTTTCTGAGATGAATGATTTAATACACTACTCATATCTGAACTATACATTAGGTATTTTACACTTTGCTGATATCAAACATCTATGCCTCAACTTGAGTGGGCACCCATCTCATTCTGCACAAATAGCCACTAAACAAGAGTAGTAAAGTCAGCCAGAAGTGTTCTACAGTAAACAAACCCAGTAGGGCATGCAAGAGCTGGTAACGACAAAGGGTCGAATCTACCATACACGTTCAGTTATACCGAATCATACTGATCACACACGTCTGAGTGTTGATTATTTGGGTACATTTACATGCGATATCAGAAATAATACTTGGTTGGGACAATGTTTGCATCCTACATCTAGTATTTGAGTAAGAAGTTGAATTTGAAGACATATAGATAGCCAACGGGTAAATGAGACGTTGCGATAACAAACTGAAGTCCAGTGCCAACTGACGTAACTATATTTTCAATATTCGCTTGAGCTACTTATTTATTTGCAAGTAGGCATAAGATATAGGTCAAAAACATAGGAGCGAGTTATTTATCTTCCATAAAACATGAAAACAAGAATGCCGAGTAGTTAGTAATGATAAGGAAAAAAAGGATCTAAGTGTTATTCTTTACATTTTTTCCACATCTCTCTCATCATTTAATCCATAAAAGACAGCCTAAAAAATAGGATACAATTCATTAAAATGCGATAATAAAATGTTCAATAATGTTAAACTGAGATTTTTGGCATCTAATTTACTGATAACTTCAAAAAGTGGAAAAAAAATGAAATAATGGGTTTCTCTGTTCCATTTGTATGTTTTGCTACGTATTTGGGTGAGTGGGAGTTTTTAATGAAATATGAACACAGATAAAGCCTTCTCTCCAACATTCAGCACTTGCTAGTAGTTCAGTTGGGCATATTAGCCTTTTTCTGTTTCTCTTCATGCCATAGCCAATTGATAATTGAAATGATCAGGACCAGAATTAAGATCACCGTGTTCATTAGTGTGAGTGAGTACCATGAGTTGTAATAAGAGAACCATTGCTAGAAAAGGCAAAAGAGATGCATGCGACAATAATTTATAAGCTATTGGATTTCGTAATAGTTGTCACTGAAACATACGAGGACAAATTCGTTCACCTATTGAACTTCTTAGACGAGTTTACTTGGATCCTTGTTCATACCACCATTAGGATTCAAACCTTGTGTTGGTTGTTTCAAACACCACGATGTTATCTATTTGCTGGTGCCGAAGTCTTACTCTTACGTTAATGAAATTTATCGTCTTCCGGTTCCGAGGCTCTTCAATAAACTCACACGAATTTTATAAACGATACTTAAGCCAACGCATCTTTGACAGTCGATGCACGAAAAGCCAAATTATTCTCAAGGATCTTTGTCTACGAACTTCCATTCTAACAGACAGAGTGAAAAGAGCAATATAATAAGTCAGCAAAGGATGTCTGAGAGAACTCTACAGGATTATAAAGAAATTAGCTACCACGTGCAATGATATCGAACAGCTGAAATATAGACTGATGAAGATGATGAATAAAAGAGGCTTTGAACTTCTCCTTGAAGCATCCAGTAAAGAAAAACCAGCTTCTTTCGGCATTTGCAAAAATATTCCAACTAAAAAGTTCAACAAACCAATGGAAGAAAAATACCCCACAAAATGAAAGGAAGCTACAAATGAAACACCACCAACCATCAGTCAGACAAAGCGGACGATCAGTCTCTCAACCAGAGAATTACGCTCGGCTGAAGTAAATGTTCTCGAGAAAAGACAATACACCAAAGTAGCAGTAGTTTAACTCAAACCCAGCATAGAAGTAACATGAAGCTGAAAAGATACTAAAACACCAAAAGAGGAAGAACTTAACGAGACCATAAATGCTCAGAAATTTAAGAAATGACATTAGTACAGTAATTGTAAAATCTGACAAGGGTGGATAAGGCGGATTACTTGAGACAAGTCAATAAACATATAGAAACAGGACTATATGGGAAACTTTTTAAGAAACAACCTATAGATACAGTTATGATTAAAATTAAACGTCTCCAGCTGATCTAATGCGCCAAATGAAGACAACTTTGGGTGAGTTTCAATGGTTTAATTTGACGCCTAAAGTTAACAATCCTAGTAGAATGTATGGTACTATTAAGATTCATAAAACAGGTTATACTATTAGGCCAATAGTTGACTTTAGAAACAGGCTGAGAAATAGGTTATCTAAGCATTTATCTACAATACTATGCCCTACTGGAAATCAGTCCAAATCTAGGTTCAACAGTTCACTGGAATTGAAACAGGCTAAATAACATACACCTAGGGAAGGGAGAAAAGATGATTAATTTTGGTGTGATAAGCCTCTATACAGAAATAAAGTTTCTATCGGAAAAATTATGTTACAGATACAACTTGGTCTAAATTCCACGGATTTGAAATTTCCAGATAATAAATAAACAAATAGATGCAGGAACGATGGAACTTCCAATATTCACGATCGTAGCATACATATTTATGGACTTTTGGGAGCAAATGGCGTTACGAAAATCCCAACCCATCGAAACAGTATGTTGACGATAAGTGGATGACACGTTCACTGTGCTGAAACCAGAACACATCCAATAGATTTTCACACACATTATCTAGTTAGTGGATACAATGGAATTCATTCAGAAATTAGAAAATGAAGAAGGAGAATTACCTATATTGCATTACAAAATCAAGGGCAGAGAAGATAGAAGCTCAGATATCAGTGTGGTGTGTAGGAAACCAACACATTCGAATAGATATACTTAGATTTCACATCATCTCAACCCATATCTGTCAAAGTAGGCTTGATAAAAGGTTCAAATAATCGGGCTGGGAGTTCGACTAGTAATTCAAAAAACCTAAATAAGAAAATGGAACACATCAAAGAGACACTACTTCTTAATAACCACCCTCTGGAATTTATTAAAAACTTTATAAAGACTGATAAGAGAAGGAATGGAAATGTTAGTGGTGAATGCAACATGTCCAGAGGGAATTCAAATCCTCTCTAGTGTTGCAGTATAAAGAAATTTATGTGGAATACATAACAAATGCTGGGATTAGGGTGGCATGTAAACCCATAAACTCACACAGAGAGAAACTTTGTAGGCTTGATGATCAAATGGAACCAATTGAGCAAAATAACATAATCAACCTATCTATCAAATACCATGTGATGAATGTGAGTTAAAGTACATAGATCAAAGTAGTCTATCACGGTCAGCGAGAATAGTTGAGTACAAAAATGTAGCTAAACATAGAATGATAGACCATCTGCATGCACTGACCCATTATCACACTATTGGTTGGTCTAGGGTGCCTTTTAAAATGCAATATGGTAGCTAGGTGGAGCATGAGACTGCTCACAGAATCTTTGTTGATTGAATATACACCTAATACACGTAAGAGAAATGGTCCATCACACATTTCAAGTAACCTTACAGGCAATCCTGGGAACTACTGAGACAACCAGTTAAATTTCTTCATTTTATGAAAACTTTCTTTCTCGTCGGAATACTGAAAGCTGGTTGGTTATTTCGGCAGTTTCTAGGGTGGCCTTTAAAACCACTGGTTATTACGGATATCTGGGATTTTTACTTTTATTAAAATGAAAGAATGAAGAACTGTTGAAATAAATAATTGAGGTTCAAAAGTCATATAATTACTTCGATATGAATATTAATAATAAACCCTGCTTGAAACGTCATTTAGTATATTATATTGTCTGCCGTATCAAATTAAAAATCAAATATAGAATTATGCCCAACCATTCTCACATATTTTTTAGTCTACGGAGTTACTACAATCAGGTCTCCACTAATTTTTTAAATTAATTATTATTATTATTTGTCCCTTGGGTTCCTAATGGAACATAGGGATTCAGTAGAACGTCTCCATCCCACTCTGTTCTCTGAAATCTTTTGTACCTCGCTCCATGACTGCCCAGAAACTCTCATTTCCTCCTCGCATCATCTCCTCCATGTCACCCTCACCTCGGACACCCAACTCGTCGCTCCCCATCCGGGTCCCACTCGAGGGCCTGGCCTGACACGTGATGTCCCCAGTTGGCCTTATCAGTGTATGCCCAATCCAATCAATCTCCACTTTCTTTCCACAACATATTTGTTGAGCAACAGCTTCTTGGTTGGTTCGTTACCCGGCCAGAGTTCCTTGTTGCTTATTCTTATTATTCTGGCCATCCATCTGAGCTCAATTACCGAGCGTAGGCAGTTGTTGATGAATGTCTGTAGTTTGTTGGGAATCCCTTTCGTGATGTGCCAAGTGTCTGAGCCATACAGGAGCACTGATTTGACGTTGGTGTTGAGAATCCGGATCTTGTTCCACATGCTGAGTGGAGTGCAGGAGATCTGCACACTGCTTTCAGATTGATGAACGCCTGTCTTGCTTTTCCGATCCTGACTTTGACATCCTCATCTGTGCCACCACCGCCTGTAGTTGAGACAGTGCTGCGTAGATAGGTGAAAGGGGTTACTTCCCTTAAGTTTCTTCCGTTGATGGTGATTGGAATCTGTTGTTGTTGTTGGTGGTGGTGGTGATGGTGGTAGTGGTGGTGTTGGTTGGGTATCTTCATCACCTCCGTCTTCTCTATATTCACTTGAAGTCCCGTCTTCGCCGCCCTGCCCTGCCCTACCTCTTCTGACAACTTGTTAGTTTTCGCCTGTAGATCTTCAAGTTTGTGTGACATTAAACACAAGTCATCGGCGAAATCCAAACCTTCTAGGATCTGTTTCTCGGTCCAGCCAGTGTATGCCCATCTTCTCGCTCCTCACGGTCTGCTGCATGATCCAGTCGAGTTGACCACAATCAGGAATATCATGGATGATAGTGGGCGGCAGCCTTGTTTCACTCCTGTCTTCACTTCGAAAGTGTCACTGAGCTTCCCACTGTCAATTACTTGGCATGTGGCGTCTTCATATAGTTATTGAATGAGATTGATAAAGGTTTGTGGTATTCCGTAGTGTTGAAGCAACTGCCTGCCAAATTACTTGTCAGTCGACGCTGTCGAAGGCCTTTTCAAAGTCGATGGAGTTGAAGTAGAGGGTTTTAAGTTAATAATGGGGCCTAAATTGCTCAACAGTTCGGTTTCTGTTTGTGTACGGAATCAGTGTACGAATTCTTCAGAATTACCTTTGATTATGTATATGTTCGGAGGTAAAAGAGCTCCATTTAAATTACATTTTGGTGTATTTTATATGGTGTTTATTTATTATCTGTGAGGTGAACAGTCTTGTATCATATAGCAGGTAAAACTCAACTGAGGTGAGTGGCTGTTTAGTGTCGAAAGTTATCATCAGTTCAGTTTTCACTTCTTTTAAAGCTCGTCACTTCATGGCTGACAGTATGTTACTGAATTCAGTAGTAATCTGAACAAAAACTATGGGACCATCCGTGTCCGGATTACTTTCAGAAACAGTAATTTAAAGATTTAAAACTATCGTCTTACAGTGTCACAAACTAAAACTCTGGATCGGTCATGTAGAGGGTGTCTTCATCATCATTATGCAAAATCAATTCGAAAGTGCATATGGCTAATTGGTTGATCACCAATCTTTTCAATGATACCAGATTTATAGCTGTAGAGGAATTGAATAACAAACTTCTATATGCAGATTTTTGAAATACAAGGACGAGTTAGCAAAGTATGGGAAACTCATGTTTGCAGGAAGTAGACTGACCTTGGTCGAATTCTAAAATACATAGGCGAAATTTGGATAACGCACAAAACTACTTGTGTGAAAAGACTGTTCAGAAGATAGATGACAAACTCCAGAGCATTAAGTAGACACAGATAGTAGGATATATGACTAGCGGTTATTTTTCAGGAGAATGGCTACCTTCACATTTTGGAAATAGAAACTGCAATCAAGAAAATGTTTGGAATCATTTTGATTCATAAACCTATCAGATGTTCTCATATTATGTTATCCAAGCCGAAGGATGACAAGTCAAACATAATCTGGAAACTAAATTGTGCAAACGGTAACAGGTAATGCACGTAAATTGGTGAACAACTACCTCGTCACTGCTAACGTGAACACCAATGGACGATACTATGTGGTAATATGGACGATACAAGGCGTTACTATGTCTCTGTATTAGTAGGAGTGAATGTGAGCAATTTTGTACGTGAATTCAATTGGGGAAGTGTGAAAAGCTAGGGTAGAAGAGACAAAATAAATGTCAAAAAGCTTTCCGAAGCCTTGTTTTCATATCGCCTTATAATCGTTACACATATTAACACTGAACAGAAGAATCAATCAAAGAAAATCATAACGAATAGCTGCATGGTCGACGGAAGTGACAGTCTAATTACACCCACGCAAACAATCAGTGACAGGACAGCTCATAAAACAAACAGCCATATCCTAGATCATCAGTACAAGCTACTGAAGAACAGAAATAATTCCCACCATATCGTAATCAAGTTCTTCCTTCTCTATTTTATCCCATATTTACTGACTTGTTAATTTGTGTTGTATCAGTAGCTAGTCAGTGGGAAGCCATGATTCTCGGTTCTGTGTGTTCTGGCAACCATCAGTAGCGCATATCTAATATCTTAAGGAAACTAGTAATTCTTCAGAGATCTGAACCCATATCAATCGGTCCGTAAGTCACACACTTCACTAATAAGCAATTCAGGTCACGAACGGCCCTTGTAACACTGGAGTATGTGAATTGCTCAACCAATGCTCAGTACTGCAATAAATTCTCTGAAAACATGAAACAACAGAAGTGGTAAGAAGTGGGCCATTGAATTGTGACTCAATGGCTGATTCTATCGCCGTGAACGCTACCGGTTCTCATTTAGACTACACAGAGGGTGCTGAGCTCGAACCTCAGAGGAGCCCCAGATTACGATAAAACAGCTGTCCAATGCTCACATATTCTTAACGATTTTCCGGATGCTGTCATTTCTCTATTCAAAACCCTTCGAAATCCTCAGTAAGCAATGACATTATTTTTGTTCTATCAGCCACGTGAAAGTGTCTTGATGTTGTGTCCACTAAGCTAGATGGTTTAATCTTGGAGCTTTTGTTGTCATTAACGGCACAAACTTCAGAAAGATGATGTTGTCTAGAATGGCAGCGAAAGCACTACGATTAAACCTTTCAGCTTAAAGAGCACAACGTCTTCAAAATTATTCTGCAGAGTTACAAACATTCTCAATCATCTCACGTGAAATTGTGTACAACCCAGTTTTTATCAAATAATTAGTTAGCACTCACTTCCACTAAACAACTCCAAAACGACGACTGAGAAAATTTGTCTGTCACTATGAATTAAATTCATTAACTCATTTGTTAAGGTAGTAGATTTAAGACTGCTCAATCATGGTTGAGAGCAATCTAAATAAGTATGTGTGCCCACAGAAAAATAATGAACAGTGCTTTTGGATGGCTGCCTGACTATGCTATGGTATGCAGCTAAAACTCACGTGTTTTGTAATTCTGTTCATAGATGCATTACACTAGCAAAATAATGTTTCAAACTGACTGCTAAAGTTTTTTATATTAGCTAGTTATTTTTGTGAACTATGTTTTTTGATAGACCTACCTGATAAATAAATAAATGTTCATACCACCTGTAACTCAACCGTTTACCAAACTTTCAACCACATTTGTTTGGTCTGTGAAGCTATTTTTCTGTAAACAAGTGCAATGGTTACTAATATGTCTCATGCGTTTGTTGTCATCACAAAGCAGGCTTACCGAGCATTAGCACACATTAGTTGGGTCGGGAAAACTGCATTATTTGCTTCATGCGGAATGAAAATCATCCACATTAATATATGAGAGTCTGGCCTAACACTTGACCAGCCTTAAGTAAATGAGTGTGCTCCATTACCAAAGTAACCAGTACCTTACCAACGTGTAATTACTGATAAAAAAAGACAAATAAGGTAGCATGTCATATGCTAAGAAGCATTCAAACGAGCAATTTATCTCTTGGTCAGAAGTAAAGAAGTTATTTTAGAGGAAAAACGTTAAAATTATCTGTCTATTAGTGGCCAAGCTGGGGACTCTGAACAAGCTGCTGCAGATCATCACGAAGAGGACTCAAAAGTTACGAATTTCTACGGAGGATGCCTACATGTTAAAACATACTTAGAGAACTAAAGTCACCCGTATGCGCAGTAGAAGATTATTTATTCAGTATTTAGATATTTTAAATGTTTATTTATTGATCTGAAAACCTAGCAGTGTATTTGGTGTCAAGAAGGTGCACTACAAATGCATGAACCACTTCTCGTGATGTGGTTGAAAAGCAAACAGTTTATTATAATAACTGACAGGTGTTTCAGTATCAGGGTAAACATAATAATCAGACGATCAAATTTACAGTACATCGTGTAAACTAGGCTATTGAAACGCCAATATGTCCTTCGAAGTACTTTATTTTAGTTTGTTAACAAGCATTAACGACAAATGCGGAAGTGTATATTTTTAGAACTCTGTCTCGTCACCATTTTCGTAACTCGAGTCATATACATCCATATGTCTTTTTCTTTTGAACCTATAGCTTTATCATCGTCAATGTCGTAGGAGTTTAATATCCAGCTTCACAAAAATCATGATATATAATAGAAGTTCACTATTTTCATGGTTGTTATCAGAGATCTCGGCGTCCTATCAATCTGACTGACGTAACAAATCATCAAAATATTTTGAAAATAAGCAGTGCCTGACCATCATTGAGTGAAGAATTGTCTATCAAGGTATGGGATGTGTAGCTGAGTGTCAAAGCTCAATTACTGTCCTGGGCGATAAATTCCCAAGAATGTATCCCTTAAAGCATTAACTTCATTCCAAGAAATGGTCAACGGCGTACGCCTGTCTGAAGAGTAGCAGACTGGAATGAAGCAGCTACCGAAAACTTGTACACTCCAACATTCAGTGATTGATTCTTAGACTTAACATTAACAAAATACTTCACAAACCACTCACTCAGAATTGTTTTTCTAAACAATTTTGTATCTGGTGGATACATCAGTTTTAAGTAGTAATCTGAAGTCAAATTAAGCATTTTCGTTTAAAATTTCATGGTTAAATGACTTCCCAATTAGATGATAGTAGGAAATCTAAACAACCGATTTGTGAAGTCTCTTACTTCAAAACATTTTTAAAAATAAAACACGTTTGTCAGATAGGTTATAGTTTTCTTCGCTAGTGTTTTAATTACTACTTGAATATTGTTGTCTTTTAAAAATAAAGTTTCCTGCCTTTGCTTAAAGTACTTCCAGGCGTCTGAGTTTTCTTCCATTTTAGTTTGTTGTAAGTGAGTACTATAAGATCGTTGGTCTGTATCAGAAAGCGAATTTTTACTCATTTATTTCTTCGTAGGAAGAAAACTACTTTGTGTTAACCAATTTAACAGAATCTGAGCGTACTGTTACTCAAATTCCAATTCTTCGGAGTGTAATTACATGAAGAAGTTTAATAAGCTAACTTAAACCAACTAATCTTTACACTAATTAACTGCGCTGATAGACTCATGTGTGCGCCTGTGTCAAGGGTTTAGGTTTTTATCATGCAACGTTGGAATTTCGTTATCTGTCGGTAGAAGTGTTCTCCGTGGTTGTACCATCTCACAGTGATTGCCATCTTCAGTGAACTTTGAAAACTGATGATATGACTTTCTTCACAGGTGTTTGGCTTTATCTATTGTACTTGATCGCTTGTTGATTTTACTAGCTTTGATTATTTTTCTCCCTCTTTAAATTTCGAACATGAAATGGACTTTCTTGTAATGGTTGCTCATCTTTTTACATTAATTATTACAGTTTATCTATGTGTCATAGATCAAGTACATCGGTTTCGTTAGGTGGGTGTGTTTTGATTGATTCCGTGATTATCTATGCCGTTGATATGAAATTTTGGCGAGAATCAAGAGATAAATCTGATGTACCCTTTCTTCAAACTGACTTCAACAGTCTATCAACTTCGTAGGAGAAGAAACAGTTCATGTCCATCAACACACGTAGGCGTTAAGCCATGCACATAGGATGTTCATGCTCGGATACTTATGACATAAGATGGAATTCTTTTCCTTAACTATGAGTCCACAATGAATCGGGTATCACAATAAGTCACGACTTGAAAACCACAGGCCGATTTCATTTATTCACGGCTCATAATTTCAAAACACTTGGGGCAATATATGGAACCTTCACTAAGATCAGTGCAGAGATATTCACCACCTTATGCACACCCTTAGTCAGATCCAAACTAAAAAAGGGACATTGTGATTCTTACTTTTATTGCGTGTCAAAAGAACAATTAAGACGTTAGTGGAGATAACTATTCTTTTTTAATGCCAACAAGCAAGACAGAATATATACCGAGAATGATCTTGAAATGCCAGGGGACTATATAGAATGCTGAACTTTGGTTAACCATTAATGACCGATACAGTGATTACAAACCGAGTTAATGGAACTATGACGAGAAATAGAAAAGGTGAAAACATCAAGATAGTTGGTTGATAGACACATGCACTCTATCAGGCAGTGGAAATGAGGTCATAGAAATTAAGGTATACTATAAGAAATAACCAAGATAGCCTCTTTCTTCACTACCCAGGAATTGATTCACACCTACAGGTATTCCTGGAAAAGGTTTACTTTGTCATAGTAGTGAAATTATCTTCACTGATACATTCACAAATGAGAGTGTGATATAAAACACTCAAATAAACTTAAATATAATTTCGAAATTCTGCTAGTTTAACATAATGAATGAAAGTCCATGTAATTACTCTTTGTTTGTTCAAAAGTGCTAAACTCACTTGATTATTACTTTTAACTGGTGTTGAGGGTGTTGTTTGAGGGCTAGATATGACAGAACTTCTGCCAACAACACCCACTGTTAAGCGTAGCTCATCTGGCTTAATCGGTTTCGTGCCAATGTTAGCCACTGTTGGGCTAGAGTTGGAGTAATAATCTGAGTACATTTCTGGTATGAACTCATAAAGAGTTTGCGGCCAACTGGTACGACGTCGATGTTGGTTAATAGTAGCTATTTCCTGCGACAGTTTCACTTCGTCATCATTCTCCACTGTTCCCGGACTACTAAAATTTAATTTTGGATCTTGTTGACTTGCATACAGGTCGACTTCATCAGCTTTTAGTGTACTGTATAACCAGTTCGCCTCCTCATCAAAACCATTATGAATATCATGGTTAAGATTGTCATTGCTGAAAATAATTCTTTTGACACCAGTCTCAGAATCAGGTCGTCTCATTGGTAATGCTGAATCTGTTGGCAGGACAGAATATTCCAAATTATTTCGATTGATTGTCCGACTAGTGTTCATTGGGAACGTTGAATATTTGGACGCAAATTGTTCTCGTTGTTGTTCACCTTTCCGTTGATGATGAAACTGTTGAAATCTTTTGGCAGTTAAACTCTGTGCTGCATAATATGGATAGGTGGATCGAAAAACTTTTTTAGGGAATTGTTGCCATGATCCTGTATGCACTGTCTTATTCATGCAGAATGGATTCATTGCTTTACTCCACAATGCATTTGCACTTGTCAGTGGTGTTGAAACATATTTACTTGGACATACAGTACTGGAATTAGCAGGATAAACTGAAGATGACGACGGTGTTGACGGCTGGAAACGTTTATCATGGCGTAAATTGAAATTAAATTGAAATGGATGCGTAGAGTGATTCGTTGGAAAATCCAATTTCTGAGAATCTATCTTAGTAAAATATCGTTGATTATCTATGCTATACCTTTTCAGATAAATTTCTTGAGGATGTGAAATCATTGTGGTATCTTGAACTGCAGCCAAATGAACCTGCTTATGTTTCCGAGGATGCCCGTGTGGTGTTAACTTAAAGATTGGTGTAAAGTGTTCCTCATTCACAACACCATCTTCATGTGCATTGTAAGCTCGATTAGGTGTAAACTGAAGTCGTCTGCTCCTCGGCATTTGACACCAGCCATGTAAACAAGTAAAATTATGTGTAGTAAATGGTTTCGTATGTAACTTTGTAAATCGATCACTCATTGCTCTCTGACTTTTTAGATTGGGTGCCTACAAAGATAAAAACATACATCGTGTTTACTTTTGTAAATGTTATCTCAGCTTGCTGATGACATACAGCTGATAAGCACCTAGTTAGATTCATACTATCTTCACAAGTATTCAACAGTGTCCTTTGAGAAAGAACTGTGTGTTAAAGAAAATTGGCTAATATAAATATTGGGTTACTCATCTTGTCAACAATATCACTTCTACATTAATAAAGAAAAACCTCAACTATTTCGGTAACCGTTATGAATAGATCATGTGGACGTGCTACAATCACTGAGTAGGTAACGCCTGGAATAATATCGTAATGTGGACAAAACAACTACGAATCAATAACAACCCTCATCAGCCTACCTGATTGGGTGATATTCCCCCTGTTTTGAGCCTGTCATTAATCGGAAAAATTACCTCATCTTAAAGGCCTGAAACTCTTCTTTCCTATCTCATAATAAAGACCATAATCACTTTGTTCCAAACATGTATAGAATTCTCAGCATGTAATTTTTCAACAAATTCACTACCAGTACAATACTTTCAGACGAAATGGTTATTGCATCGGAATGATATTAATAATAACAGTATTCAAGGCAACAATGTGAAATAGCCAGCTGGTTTTGGATGGGCGTCCGGGCCATAATGAAGAACTAACAGAAATGCAAGCATAATTTTAGTGGTGGCGGTTGATCCAACCAGTACAAAAATCTGCTACTCAAGCTAAGTAGCTGACGGATATACTTTGTGCACTGAAAAGTCCACTTCCAAATAACGTAAAATTTTACCTCTGCTTTGTTACTGACTCGAGAAACAGAGAGTTGGAAACAGTTTGAAAATGTGCAAGAGTACGTGATTCGTTCAAAGGAGATATTTAAATGATTAAAACAAATTGAAAGGAAAAAATTTGATGAAAAATGTCCGGTGGATAATTTGGTGCCCCAAGCTTCAAGCAGGCCGCCTACGAAGCTGGTCATTCATCCACGGAACACTGGAGACAAAATCCTCAAGGCTTTTGATATTCAATTTTTCGAAATATCTTGTACACTTGAAATAGGACCTTATGATGTACATATAGATTCCTTAAACCTGTTATAATTGAATATTTATGGTTAGGAGTGGTGAGGAAAAATGCTACAATAAACTTATGTCGTTCAAAAGAGAGAATTATTTCACTTCTTGAACACCGATTCGTCTTTTGAATAAGAAAAACTGAATAATGTTCTTCCATTTTAGATTCTACACTTACATATTGCTAACAAGTAAGCTGCACTTACCGGTGGCGCATAGCGATCCACAGAATGGCGATCACTCCGAGGTGTTGACTGTTGGTATAACACTGAACTACCACTGTCATCGTCATCAACAGCAGCGACGGAATAAACAGTAGGTAACTGATACTGAACAAAATCGTATGGTGTCGAGCTGTCCCAGTGACCTAATCGGTTTTGTTGAGTACAATAGACTTTTCCCATCTCCATAGGCCATTCTCTTGATTTAAGCCGACTGAATTCATTTACCGGAGAATCTGTATAAACGGTTCGGCAGTGTGGAGCTGACCGAACAGTGGCTGAACTGAATTCTGATTTCTCACTGACACTTTCAACGTCTTGTACACTTCCTATACGGAAAACAGCACCAGAACCTCCGTTGTCACCAGCACTGCTAGTATAAGTATGAAAAATCTTTGCATTTTGCGATGGGGACAAATAATGCCCAGAGTAGTCGGTGTGGGATTTAAGTTGCCTCGCCTGAAGCTCATCTTGTTCATAGCTATCACTTGCACAAGGCAATACATTGTCTGTTGGTATCCAGTACCTTTGACTTGAGTGAGATTCTGGCCTTTGGGGAAGCTCAACTAAGACAGAACTAAGATAATTTTGAAAAAGATAACAAGAAATATGGTTAGATGTGTAGCCCGTAGACTCCCATGCATTTATGTACTTTTCTGTGTGCCTATGCATGGCGAACTGATTGATTATCCACAAAGTACACTTTGATCACCATTCAGAACTTCATGTCTACAATGGTCTCTACGTAGTGGTCAGTTCATCTTCCTTTTTATCCAGAAGTATGAACTAGAAGCTTTCAATAGTGAGATTAAGGTAGGTGGTCTAAAGACTAGGTTTATTTTAACTCATTTACAAAAAACACCTGTTGGCCACAAATGCTAGGGAAGCCGGTTTGGCCGGCAAAATAAAATGAGAACTGTTTGAGTTTCCCAAAGTAACTCAATGTGCTCATCAGTATGTTTTCAGGTGTTTAATAAAAAGTGAACACTCATACCCAGCATATATTTTTCCTTACTCCTCAGTTTTATTTCATCCTAGTAAAGTATCAAGCCTTTTTAAACGATCCAAGTGTTGTAATCCCATGGAAAGTCAAACCCAGCACTACCACCTCAAAAGTTACGGCATTATGCACTCGGCTAACACCGTATCCTGTTTGATGAATACCAGTTTTTCATTGACCTTCCCAATGATGATCTGCCGGACCAGATTGCTTAGTCTCTGTTGAAATGCGGGTTGGATGAATAAGCGCTTTGATATTGTATGCATTCACAGCTTGAATAAGATGTGGCTATCATAACCTAAAAGTTTAGTGGAAAAGATTGTAACTTTTAAACGTGGTAGGGGCTGTGTTTGGGTTTCATTTTTAGTAGCAGTACCCATTGGAATGTAGATATATCCATCTACAAAAGTCCAAAATTAGGCACACCATCGGTATCTAATTCCATTGTTATCTCTCGTCGGAGACATAAATAGCCAAGTTACAGGTAACATTCATGGATTTATACATGGAGTCCGTTGGCCAACAGAGACTGACATCAGTTCACTACTGTCAATAGAAAGACGAAATTCACACCAGTCAAGTCCATTATACCAATACTTTATCATCCCATAAAATCCTCTTTAGTAAATAAGCTACAGCAATTGAAATTTTATGTATAACAATCGAGTCGTAAGAAAAACAAGACAAAAATAGACCAGAAGCAACAATAACAAGTAATATTTCCTGTAAAACAGTGAAATCTTTTTTAGATCTTTCGATCTGATATTTGCTGGTAACATTGCGATGAATTTCAACTCTTTTCATGCATCCATTGCTTCATGATCATCATGTGTGGGTGTATTGACCATCGTATTTATCAGAGGTATTTTTCATCAATTCGTTTGTTTATCTACGTGTGTATACGTGTATGCATCTAGTTATTTTCGGTGGACAGGTACCGAACACATTAACAGTGAATTCCTCCGGATGTCTCCTTCCCTCTTTCAATCTTTTATCATCTCTCTGGTTTTATGCGTATATTGTCTTAGGACGTCCCTAGCCCATAAATATCTAGGGATACACACACACACACACAAACACACTTATGTACATCCTTATGTAATAGTATATTATACATTGTGGTGATCACTAAAAGTAATCGACTAAATTAAACTTCTTTTCGTTTAGATATGAGCAAGTATTCAAGCATTGGAAATTCTTTTGTAGTACAGATAAGAGGGGAAACGCTAAACAGAAAATTCCACTGAAGCGTAAAATGCAATAATACTAACAACTTAGCTGTGGTTAATTTCTGTTTTTGTATAACAAGATTTCAGTATATCTCTTCAGTTATATTGCGTAAAAGTAAGTGATTAAAATTTTACCACTCCTCTATTCTATTCACAGTAATATGCAATAAACTGGGATAAAATTAAAGTTTATTATAAGATGGTTAAGTGACTATGAAGTCCAGGAGGACCACAGCATTCCACTCGGTGGTATGTGTTAGTCCCTAGAGGGCTTCGGGCTCGCTGGCACTCATCAGGAAAGCGTATATGTAATCTTGAAGAAATTCATGCTTTTTCGGAGATTCAGTCACTGCATAACTCATCACTGAAATGCCCAAACACAGTCGTAGTTGATCACCAGGCGGTAAGCGATGTAGTTACCAAATTCTAAGTTCACCCAAGGCTTTTGTAGTTTGAATTCAGCACCGAGTGAAGTCAGAACGCAATGGTATAGAGAACATACGTCTATCTTAGAACGCAGAACTTGTCAGTTATATTGGTTAACATCCTGTAACCGATTCGTTTACACAACCTGTTCCTACACCTGACTAGTCTTGACCTACAAGTTGTTCAGTTGGTAAGTATCTAATGGCAGGACAACTTAAACATTTCATAACTGAAAGACAATATATAACTGCATATCTTTGTAGATATTCTGTGTTGATGATCTCTAACGAGTATAGAATTCAATCTAAGCTAAACTGTACATTGAGTAATTATAAACAGTTGATACTTAGCAATGTTTTGATTAGAATTATCGGTAGGGTTTCACTTACGCATCTGATTTATAACACCTTCTAGGACTAGTTGAAAATTTTCGTCTAGCAGCGATCATCTGTCGTCTTGTCACCGACTGAAATGGGATCTCTTCAGTTTGCACTTTAATCTTTTTTGCTTTTGGTGATAAGGAAGCAGAAAATACATTTGACGTTTTGAATGATTTCACTTGAGGAGATAGTCGACTCGGCATGGAACAGTCAGCTGGTATCATAGCTGATAGCAATGGTTTATATACTGTTACACTAACAGGAAAATGACCAGCTTCACTTTTTGTCCATGAAGTTTTCTGCCCTATTTGAAATTCTTTCACACTGTCCGACTCTAAAATCGCATCAGGAGCTTGATATGACATGGATCTGTTCAGTGTTTGTATTGAAAACGAACGTGATTCACTAGGATCCATTGATAGGTAGCCAGAGTCTTGAGTTGAATTCATGCTCAACTTTGGAGGATGTTGACTACTCTTTAGATAACCGGGACTGATTTTCCTCGGTTGTACAATTTGTGGAGATTTGCACTTCCATAAGGGGTGAGTTTCATTCATTTCTTCTTGCCTCACACTAGACGACTGCAGTTGACTATTCGAGTGAATTTGATCGTTGATTTCAATTTTCATAATGTCCATTGTTTCACTTGATGCAGCATGATTCTGAGAGACACTTTCCATGGAATTAGATGAAGTGGTACTCGGCGGTACAGTAGCCAGGTGAATAGGTGATAACTTCTTGATCTTGTCATTATTTATCGACATTGAAATTCGTCTTTCTGAAGTACTTCTACGAGACTCGGGTGACTTCATACAGGGTGATAAATGCTGCAATGGTTCTCGATATGAGGATAAATTTCTCTGTAAAAATGAATACCAAACTACTCGAGTAAGGATTAAACACAAATGAGGTGATACAATTGAGGACTGATAAGCGTATGTTATAATTACTACCGGCATTTAAGCTATACTAGTCAACTATGATGCTGTGGGTTGAACAGCCTCAAATTATTATGAATTTAACCGGATTATCATACGAAAACACTCAGGTGGAAGAGTAGGGCAGACAGCTGTCTGTCAGTTTTACAAGAAACTTCTAGGGTTGGTCATAAGTGATCTCTACCAATTACTACAACTACAACTACAACTACTACTACTACTACTACTCACACTACTATCTGAGGTTTCACTCCAATTTTTGACTGAGCCTCAAGTTCCAGATCAGTCTTTAAATATAAGGACGTTCCAACGCAAACCTTGTATATCTTTCACCTCACCGTGAAGGGAACTTCTAAACAAGGCATCCACATGAAAACGAACACTCCTTCTAACGCCTCCTCAAACTGATGAGCATTATCTCAGAACTCTCCCAACTGTCAAACTCCAACGCATCCACATTTCTAGAGTAACTGGTTCGTTGACCGTATTCACCTTACTGTCGGCAGACATGCATAAAAGACATTTTGTGGAAGTCTCAGCAACCTCGCAGACCTAAGTGTAGCTCACCTCCCCAAAAAGAGACCCTTTTAAGCGGTCCATTCTGTAAACCAATAATACCGAACGATTCTCAGCGATGGCTTCCTTTTGGTCACCAGTATGCAGCCAACATCACTTGCTTTCGTGAGGCAAAACTATACTCGTCTCTAGGCTTGATTCAACAGCAATGAATACCATAGTTAGGAAATTGGATTCACCTTGTCTTTCGGATGCTTTTAACACACTGAACAGAATCGTGCCTTGAGGGCCCACGCTACAGATCTTGCAAATGGATCTATAGGACCTCAGTTTTTGAAAAGTCAACTTGCCAATGCATTGATTGATATACGGTGAGACCACGAGTAGACTTATCGTCATGTAAAACTAGGCTCAACCCGTAATCTCCGACGCATAAACACTTCCAGTTGCCACGAGCCAACAACAAAAACTCAGAAGCACCTGATCACACTAACTAGAGCTGCTTACACCTAACGCCCTGGTATGCAACTATGGGGTGAGTCTATACTGCCTAGAGAGTCAAAGTCACTACTACTACAAATACCATGCTCACTACTAATGATACCGTAAAAAGCGGTAAAATGGTAAACTCACCATACAAGCAGCACTTACCAAACTGTCTAAACATGGATCCATGGATGACTTACACAAGCTAACAAGATCCCCAGCTGATGAACTCATCTGTTTATTAAATATATCAACATTCCTCTCAGTTGGTGTACCCTTCTGTGGTTCCATATCTTCATTGGAAACTTCTTTCAGTGGTGAAATTATTCTGTCATTTGCTGAGTAACTTTCAACTTTCAATTCATTCATAAAGGTTTTTTGAGGCGCAGAAAATGGGCGAATTAATTCGCTTGATGTTATCAACGGGGATACATCTGCTACATCACCAGTACTAGGCTTCTTAAATCGATAAAAATTTGGATTATTAAAATTAGCGAAACGTTCAAATAAATCAGTAGATGACGGCTCATCTGTAGGATCAACCGAACTCGGTGTAGAGTCACGTGATAGAAATTTACGAAAAAACTTTCGTCTTGCCTGCGAATGATGATAGTGTTGACGATGTTTGAAACTTTGTGTATTACTCAATGAACGCAGTGGTGTAACCGTGATTTGATGTGGTTCTTGATGTTGTAATTGTTCAAGAATCTGATGACTATTCTCTTCATTTAAACGTGATTGACTAAAGAGTGCACTTGAAGTTGGAGGTAAAAACTCACTTGAAACATTTAAAGTTAAGCTTGGTGAACATAATGTTGGGGATTTTAATGCGTTCATATCATCACTGGATCAATTTCGAACTGACATTTCTTGCGCCATTCAATTCCTTGAGGTAAAAAGTTGAAATAATTATTTTTGAATACGTTAATATAAAAATGGTCTGAGATACGAAATTAACATCTGAAAATTTGGAGTTTCATTGGCTTTAAATATTTCTACATTTGTTTGATACATTTCAGCCACATAGAGAACAGTGAGTACGTTTCGCATTACTTTTTTAACGAGCTTCGGTGATTACCAGAATGAACTTTAAAAGACCTGAAAAATTCCTGCACAAGTGAGTGTGTCATAATTGTAAGTACTTTTTCAATGACCAATAGGCTGTTCGAATCCTGCAGCTGATGATTAACTATTGAGTTAGGTTGCACTAAGCGACGGACAACATTTTGTATTGTCATCAAGTGTCATGTAACAGAAAGTTTTCGTGCAGTGGTTCTCGTTTTTTCTTGTTTTAAATCATATAGTTTTCCATCACTGCATAATGCAGATGCTGTCTATACCCATTCGAACATTATAAACAATGTAGGAATGTTAGTATGGCGATTAAGTACTGTGTGAATTAGATTCCATCATAGGGATCAGCACGTATGAAACATTGGACGAAGAAGTGAAGAAGAGTGTTCGGAAGGATAAAAGGCACCTCTACGACACATTGGCAAGCGAAGCAGAACAGGTTGCTGTTTGGAGAGACCTGACAGCATTATATCAAAAAGCCAGGTTACTATCTGGGAAGAGATCAACTTAGATGAAACCAATGAAAGATAGTTAAGGAAACCTAGTTACCAAAGAAGAGAAACAAAGCAAACAATGAACTGACCACTTCAAAAAGCCCTTGAGTCCAAAACCACTTGCAACTCGTCCAGAAATATCATCAGCAACGGCAGAACCACCAGTGTACACATGCCCTCTGACAAAAGCAGAAGTACTGAATGCCATAAAACTGATGAAATTCGGGAAAACAGCAGGACCAGATGGCATCCCGCCAGAAGCACTGAGAACAGAAGCAAAGGCAACAGCGGAATGCTCACACCACTACTGCAGAAGGTTTGGGTGGAAGGAAATGTACCTGCTGTTTGGTTGGAATAAGGGTTACCTTGTCAAAATCCCAAAGAAGGGGACCTAAGTCTTTGCAAGAAGTGGCGCGGAATCGTGCTGTTGTCCACACCAAGCAAGCGAAATATTAAGTCGCATCATCCTGGAGAGACTAAACAGTGCACTGGATTCAAAATTATGACCGGAAAAGGATGGCTGGATTCAGAAAGAACAAATCATGTGCGGATTAAACAACAACACTACGCATCATCAGTGAATGGAGTATGGAATGGCAGTCAGCTCTCTACCTCATCTTTATCGACTTTGGAAAGGCCTTCTACAGCGTCAACAGACAGGTAATTTGGAAACTGTTTCAACACTACTTAGTACCACAAATCTTTATCAACCTCATTCAACGGCTATATGAAAACGCCACATGGCAAGTGATCCACAGTGAAAAGCTCAGTGACGCCTTTGAAGTGAAGACAGGAGTAAGACAAGGCTGTCTACCATCATCCATGATTTTTCTGATTGTGGTGGACTGGGTCATGCAGCAAACCGTGAGGGGCAAGAAGATGGGCATACGTTGGCTGGACCGATGATGATTTATGTCGAATGTCTTGTAGCACAAACTCGAAGATCTACAGGCGAGAACTAACAAGTGACAGAAGAGGCGTGGCAGCGAAAACGGACTTCAAGTGAATGTAGAGAAGACAGAGGTGATGAATATACCCAACCAAAAACAACAAGCACCAATCAACATTAACGGGTGAAACCTAAAATTAGTTGTCTCTTTCCCTACCCACCTACCTGGGCAACATAGTTTCAGCTACAGGCGACACAGGCACAGATGAGGATGTCAAAACCAGGATCGGAAGGGCAAGACAGGCTTTCACTAATCTGAAATCAGTGTGGAGATCTACTGCACTCAGCATATAGCCTGAACAAGATCCGGATTTTCAATACCAATGTCAAGTCAGTGCTTATGTATGGTTCAGAAACTTGGCGCGTTACGAAAAACATGTCCAACAAACTACAGACATGCATCATATAAACAGCTATCTACGCTTTTTGCTAAGGGTCAGATGGCCAGAATAATAAGAATAAGCAAAAAGGGACTCTGAATGGCTGGTTGGCTGGCAATGGACCAACCAAGAACCCATCGTCCAACAAATATGCAGTGGAAGATTGTGGAGATGGATTGGATTGGGCATACACTGGGAAGGCCGACTGGGGACATCATGCGCCAGGCGAGGCCCTCGGGTGGGACCCGGATGGGAAACGAGGAGTTGGTCTTTTGAGGTGAAGGTGAAATGGAGGAGATCATGTAAGGAAAAAACTAAAGGTTGTTGACAGTGTTGGCACCAGGTTCAAAAGACTGAAGAGAAGAGAGTGGAATGGAGGCGTGGTACTGAAGTCCTATGTTCCACAAGGAACCCAATAGAAAAACAATAATAGGGATCAGTGAAAGGATTTAAATGATAGTTTGGAATACAGGTTTTATTGCTAAATGAAGTTTTATGAGGTATACAGGGGATACCTATTCAGAGTTCATTTCCAAAAAATTGTAAATGAAAACTGATAACATTACCCTTTGGTTACTTACACTTGTGCAGAAATATGTTTAGCTTGAAAGTATCCTTTATGCCAACAATTGTGAAACGAACGTTTTAAACATAAGTTCACCAGGATGAAAATGCATTCGACTAAGAAATAGTATTTGGGGTGAAGTATATCTTAAAAATTCCATTCAAACAGCCAAAGAATGTGAAGAACGCCTGAGCAGTCTACAAGTTTAAGAAAGATTTCTACACTGTGCAAAAGTATTGTTCACTGGTTGCTGAAGAGATCAGTCCTGCTGCCTGGTACTTCACCGCTACAAATATTTCGTCTAACATATTCTGTCCGTAGTCACTAACATTCGTCAATTAACATGCCAGTGTACTACTCTTGGTTAAAGAGACAACTTTCATAAATACTAAACGGAGCATAGATCCCTTTCTTGTAGATTGCAAGTCACTTTTCTTTAAGATTATTCAAGCAATCACTTAGGCTCAACAGTTCAAGCCATATTGTTTGAACAAATCGGTCACCTTTTTAAAACTATCAGAAATGGTCAAGATATTCCAACCTATATAATATTGTTCATGACACTACGTATCCACCTGTTTACCCTCAGTTTACTGAATCCAATTTTAAAGTGATCAGTTGACGTCTAAATACTCAGTGCTAATGTTTGTGACCATTGCAGTAAGTGCCGTGTCAGTGAGGGCAAGAAGAAAGAAATTCAAATTTGGAACAGCTTCGTGCTGACTCCTCTCAACTATCCAGGGTCAACCACTGCGAACCATAATATCTAATCACTGGGATTGTAAACATGATAAACATCAATAATGAGAACCACCCAACATGGGTCATGAGTACATGTGCAACACATTTAAAACTACTCACCAGCTAAGTCACACAACTAGTCAGTGACTAATCAGTATATCTTTCAGTGATATCAAGGCAGAAGTCGAAAAATTAAAAAAAAATGACAAAATTTATATCCTCAGTCGTTCTTATTACCAGCAGACTCACTTGGATCCTTGGGGAAAGATACTTAAACGATTATATTGTGGAATAAATGAAAGACTGAAAGTATGTCCTTGTAAAATCTAATGATCTTCAGTCTTTTAAGTGAAAAGTATGAACCTTAACTGTCAACAGTGAAAGGCTGTAGCCTGATGGATGTTAATTAGTTGCAGGCCATCGGCAAGAAGCTGTGGATATAGATTTCGTGCTTCTTGGCCCTCAGCAGCAGGGTGTATCTGCAGCTTGTTTTTTCATCAGGAGTTGAGAAACAGCATCGATGAGTTAAAACAATTTCTCGAGTTAGATATTGGTGCGAAGATCAAAAGCCGTTGAATGACGTTAAAAACCTGGAATGAATGATCAGAAATCTCAGACACACTCAGTTATTTAATGATAGGTATTTTGAGATACGATCTAGGAAGGAAAACCTCAAAACACTTGAAGACGACACCACCATCGAAAGTCACTTGCTGTTTGTACGTGCAGTGCAGGAGAAATTTATCCTGTAAATACATATACTCGGAAGTTGAGAAGTGAAGAGATATGCTGTGAACTTCCTACAGCTATTCAACATGAAATATAGTACATTATAATGATGAGTGACCTAGCGATATTACAGATAATGTGTATTTAAAGTTCATAATCCCAGGTTATATGAAATAACAGGTGGAACCATGGTATGAAGAGTGACTGTCTTATTCCACAAGAATACTGACATATTCAGGTCACAGCATTTTGGCTGCTTGCTAGGAATAAAGATTTAACAATTGAGCGTGCTTTAGCCCGCCCAAATCTATCCACACTACTTACTTGGTTATTAAAACTGGACGGTCATTTTTTCGAAATTGAATTTAAACCCTCAGCGTTTCACACAGATGGATGAAAGTGAGAGAAGTTAGTAGCTCGAACTATCTGAACTAAGATCATTTACTTGGGGACACTCTAGAAACACTGCTTCGGAGCTCATTCTCAAGTAAAGTAAGCAGTTTTTGCTACATATATCATCAACAAATATTGCCAATTGGTGTTTGCAGTTACCCATTTTCCCCGTTGAGTATTTATCACAAAGCCTTCATTAATTTGAAGTGAGCAAATAAAGGTTGGACAGTGACTAAAGACAGCTCAATAGCAGTGTCTTGGAGCGATTCATCAAATAACAAAAATTCCAAAGCTCTGAAAAAGAATAAGTTCTCTTCTAAACTTTAGGAGCCTGTTGGCGTTAAGTCTAGCTTGCTTGTTGACAGTCATCAGAAAAGTGCATCTGAAACCTTGAGGAAAGCAATACTCCTTCCGGTATTTCACCCCACATCACTTGGTGTTGGATTTGTTACTTCTGTCACTAGCTGTTCAGTTCACTCGTAAACCCCGTATCAAGGGGAATAGATGAAATGATGAAAATTCATACCTTTTGAACGAGAGGTGGCTGTTCTATTTCAGTAGCCTTGTAGATAACACTCTAGCATTGGGCATACACTGAGAAGGCCGGCTTGGGACATTACTTGTCAGGCCAGGCCCTCGAGTGGAACCCCCTGGGAAGCGACGAGTTGGGCGTCCGAGGTGAAGGTGACATGGAGGAGATCATGCGAGGAGCAAATGAGAGTTTGTGGGCTGTCGTGGAGCCAGGTTCAAAAGATTTCAGAGAACAGAGTGGGATGGAGACGTTCTACTGTTCCATTAGGAACCCAAGGGACCAATCGTATAATAATAATTTGTAGCAATCGGTTTTGCGTTTCAGCTTCAGTGGGAGCACCATCACTCACTAGGATCCAGGTATATTCCGCTAACGAATCCTAAATAGGACAAAACGCGCATCCTGGATTCCAGTGCTAGCCTCCATCAAACACGTAACAAGTGTAGTTGTAAAGTTTTAGGTGTTGACTGAAGTCGATGGACCGATTTTGAAACGTTGCCTTTATAGCCTAAATTCTTATGATGCTGCTCAAACACTGCAGCTGTGAGCGTCAACAAATCCAGATAAGGTGCTGCTTCCCAAGTTTACTTCCATAGTCTCAGTCCATATCATCAGATTATCGATCAAGACTTGTATAACGATGAAAACAGCAGTGCTGAAGCAACAACGATTCAAAGCCTTAATTAGCCTATTTCATTCGATAAAAAACAGACTGACTGACATTTTGTTTATTTTACATGATTATATATTTCCTTCATTGACTGGAGAAAACAAAAGGAAACTTCCACAACTGCAACACCAGGTGACGCAAGTCCAAATCTCTGGATGGAAATCTGTCTTATTGAGGCTACAGATACGCCTTGGTGACGAGTATCAAAAAGCATGAAACTAGGTCAAGCAGGGGTTCCTACTGATTGCCTTCATCCAACTAACATTTATTTCAGTGCATCTTGATGGCAAGTCTACGAGGCTGCTAGTCACAATACAAAATGAGCAATAGAAATTGGTCAGCACTCGGACTAGATATCGTGAAATTGGTTACCATATGGTGATCAATCAATGTACAGATGACTATTTGTAAAAAAGTGGTGGTCAACCGTAGTCACAGAAGTTAGGCGAAAAACACCAGTGCATAAGATGAATTTGCAAGTTCACAGCACTCATGACTTGCGTCACCATAAATCTAGCAAGCAAGGCAATAAAAATTGGTTTAAATTTCTGCTTCCACTGACGATAAGCGCTTAATGTGGAATTTTGTGAAGTTTATGCACGTTAAACCTCAGGTTGTTACGATGAACAGAAAATCTGACTCACATCCACTGGTAAGAATCGACTGTTGGCTTAATGACCTTCATATTATCCTCAACTGACTATTAACTATTTGGCATATACCTAGCCTGTTATAGGCTGGGTATATTGACAGATCTGCTAGGGGCGACTGGATAGTACGTGGTCCTATGGTCATGTGTCAGGTTCAATGAGGGTTGTATGCTACATCCCTACACTTTTCTTTCCTTTCATATGTTACATTTGGTTTGGAGTCTTATTATCTGAATCACATTCTTTGTATATCTATGCCTGTTTCAATATAATAATGATTTAATTCTCCACTAGTACCGAATCTACGAGTATACAATCAGCTGATCTTCAGTAAAGTCTTTCCACATTCACTCGCATCGGCGCTGGGAAGATTGACCTTCCAATTACAATGAGTCAGAACAATCAGTTCCTAAGTTTAAGCATTTTGCTACTGATCGATAATGGTTAGTCATGGAATCCGGAAAGGGAGTTTCATCCTATTTGTGACTTGTCAGCCGATGATATCTTGTTCGTTTACCAAATTATGTGAGCAGTTGTCAGCACAGGCTTGCAACAGTCGCAATTAACACATGAATCACGGTTAAAACGCGATGGCAGATCCCATTTCGCTTGGAGAAACAGATGTTTGCTGTGCTCGAAGAATCCATCAACGTATAAAAACGTTTGAGTGGATCAAACTTTTCAGTTTTAATACAGTTCTATTAATTCAAACAAAAGAAACCAACCAGGAATCATCAGAAACCCTGATCTGTGAATAGCTTCCAAAAGTCCAAAAGTTAACTAATCCAGTGAGCAAGGGAATGTTTCATGAACTACACCACTGGGATAAACGAATGAGTAGCAGTTATTCCCTTATCATCTTCAAAATCGGAGGTCCGCGGTCAACAGAAACGCGCTCATCTATTTATATTGACAGGTGAATTTTAAAAACTCACCTAGGTTAACAAATAAATATCTTTGCTTTTAGACAAAGTCGGTCAACGCTCAAAATCCAAAAAGGTCAAATGACTGATCAGATGGGTAGAAGGTATTTGCACCACTGCTTGTTAGGGAATCACCATCTTTATGCATTCCAAGCGTGCACTGAAAATAATGTCTACGATATTATTGAAAGCTTGGTACCGAAAATATCGACTCAAGAGAAAATTCTTCAACCTTAAGTGACCTCATTAATATCAGAGTAAAACTTGAGCACTGTGGTGGGTTGTAGTTCCATTTTAGTCCGTTTATTAGAAATATAGGGAGAGATTAATAACCGAATCTTTGTTTATCGAATCAACACCAAATACATGCAACATAAGTGATTCTGCACCTGTCCCAGATATATGGAAAATTTTACTTCCCTTGTCACAGTGAAGGAGTGAAGATTAGAACTGTATAAACGTTATGCAGTAAATAATGCTGTTTCACTGTGTGACATTTCTAATACAAAAACTAAAATGCACTTAAGTGACCTGACCTGTTGAATGCAAAAAATCAGCAAACTTCACCCTACCGGTGTGCAGAGATTCAGTCGCTAGCTCCTGTGGACTCACTGTTGTAGTCAGTGAGTTAATTTGTGAAGTAGAATGCGCTGTTTGACTGCAGAAATGTCTGAAACCCCAAAAAACTGCGACACTCATATGCACCTAATCTAGACTGCCGCCTATAAGCCTACTGACTACAGTATGATATAAACGATGAGCTTTACTAACAGCTGTCAAATTTACTAAATGAAACAAAAGTTTCAGATATAGTCATATTAGTGGGTGAGTTTAACCTTTATGTATTTAGAGCTGAGCCACTCAGAATATTAAGCTGGAGGAATGTATGTTGTTCCATGCCAATGAAAGGATAACGATGATTGTCACTTACTTTTCAAGGATGCAGGTAGGAAATTACCGAGACGAGTGATGCAGGTGTTTATTACTATATGCAAATCATAGATAGTTCTATCAGTTCGGTTCAGATCCTTAAATATTCCGGTATATAGGTAAAGAAAGGAGTCTTTTGTGACAATCAAAAGGAAATCAGTTTGAATAACATCGCATGCAAAGCCTGACTAGAGTTCTAGAAAGCTAGAAAAGTAGCTAGGTTTCATGTTCGAAAGAGGATACACATCTTCACCCTTCGACAGTTTATGGAACACAAGTGTACTTACCACTTTTACTGACCCAAAGGCTGAATTTGACTTTGTCAACAAAGAGGTGTTGTAGAAGTGTCTAACTAAGAAGGGAGTACCGAGGACGAATGTACTAAAAAGCAAAGCTATCTACTGATACTAATAAAGAATGTATGGGTGTATTGAGAGGTTGCCATCTGAAATGATGAAAAACAGCTGTCTGGCATAAATTCAGAGCGTAACCGTTCCTGTCTAACTTAGTTATATATGTGCTGATGGATACAACCCTGAGTACCTCCAACTTCTCTGGTACTGATTCACTCCCAGGAAAGCGCTTGCTTGACTTGGAATACACAGACTACATTGTCCTTTTAGGCGAAGGGTGGGCCAAAGTATATAATTTTCTAATTTTTCTTGATTTTGGGAAGGGGATACTAGGCAAGGAGGGTATGCCATTCATTGATGTTATGAACCTTCATAGACTGAGGTGGTTTAAAAACACGTTGCTCATACCCAGCCACCACATACCTTAACCTTCAATGTTACCCGAAGTGCGACTGTGCTGGCAGAAGGCCACAGGTAGTCATTTGAAGATATGACACAAGTTCATGAAATCTATGACTGTTGCTCTGATCGTTGTAGGGTAGTGTAGACTGGCTGACTGAGGTCCTTGAGATAATAAAAATCAGTGGTTGGAGACTCTTATTAACATGGCTGAAAACCAGTTCTAGTGAATCAGGTTTGTTCACTTAGTTTTACTAAATTTTGTAGTTCTCTTTTCTCCCGTAAACTGTTGTCTACTTTGATATTAATCTTTTTCTATCCACCACTTATATCCGTACTGCTGTGAAGTGTACTGCTGTAAGTGTTTGTAAGACTCTTAGCTGTTTTTGTCTGTTTGTCGGAATTCGATTTTACTACTGATAATAAATTCTTTTGTACAGATGTTTCACTATTTGAAACGTATACATGATGGGTATATATTACGCACAAGTACATCGCAAAACATACTTTTAGGGCGTAAGCACAAGGTCAGTTTACCTGGTTGGTGAAACTGTGGTTCCAGTTGAAAAGCTAATTCTCTTGCTTTGTCAGACAAATGAAGAGCCTTCTGGATAACAGACACTGCCAATTCAGCGGATTTACGTGCTTTCAATGCTCTACGAAAAAAGGAAGAGACAAAAGTAAAGAAGTGTTTGTTGATTGCGAACTATCAATTTTATTTTAAAACCTGAAAATTCTCTCCAAGTTAAAATTATTCACAGCAGACGTTTGGAGATCAGCATTGTCATTATACTCCGTCCTATTTTGAATGAGAATATCGGTGAAACTGCTAATTCAGTGAGGTTTAAGTGAACGCAAAGTACAAAGGAGTAACCACTACAAAAATACACATTCAATTCAGTAAAAAGCTACTAGTGTTATGCAGTGACGTGGTGCTCTGTGATTTAAAAATTTATGTAAAGATTTCCATAGAGACACTTAGAAAGCAAACAGTTTGAGCTAAGAAATATCTTTCCTACACTAGTAGATACATAAGTATATTTCTAAAATGGGAAACTACATACGATTCTGGTGGTAATAATTAGTTAAGCACTGATTATCAATCTCAAAGTATCAAGGGAGTGATCATTAACCAGGGTGTTTAAAACAGTAGAATTTATGGAATTTTAAATAGCTTGTTGCATAACTGCATAGAAGAACAGAAAATGAATGGTTGTGTCAATAGTAATAGTAATTATAATAACGATAATAATAATAATAATAGCAATCGTTTTGGGAATGAGCGAAGAGAAGAGTCATCTTCAACAACAAATTCTACAAACAGTAAGATGAGTCAAATCTCAGCAAACCTTATCCTAGAGAAATTAGAAAGTGGGTTTTTAGTGGGTATAATAAGTTGGTTAAAATTTTACTGTCGTTGCGCAGAGGATATATTCCTAATTCTGAAGAACGAAAACGAAGCAAGGAATGTAATAAATACGTTGAATAGTGTCCAGTCAGAGAATTTCTTCACCTCCAGAAGTGAGAAAGTAATGATAGAATCACCTTTGTAAATGTCCGATTGAGTAGGAAAAAGGATAGAACTTCAAAAAGCATTGCGTGTTGAAAATCAGTATCACCGGGTCATTTTTTGAGTGTGGTTTGCGAGCGATATAGAGGAAATTTAGTTAAACGCCTTGTTTACCGAGCAAAACTTATCTACTCAGACAATACTTTAGATCAAGAACTTGAAATTATTTATGATCTACCTAGCAGTAACGGATAACCCGCTTAACTGAAAACCGGAATGCTAACAGTTTTGAAGAGATAGCAGTTCCTAACAGTACTGATTCCAAGTAACATTATCGATGAAAGTATGATGTTGTGCCTTAGGAATGTCGTAAGAAGATCGTTTAATGCCAGAAAGCTATGCTGCGTATTATGCAGACGACTAGTGTTGACTTGGCTAATCAAAGATAGACTACTTGCCTTCGCCTCCTCTATGTGCGCTTACCAGTTCAACTGCTGTTGTAGATGTAGTTAAGTGGGGTGTATAACTAGGAAAGTCTATCGTCAAATTGCCGAACACCATCCGTTATGGCTAAGTAAACGGTAAACAAGATAGAAACTAAGCTCAGTACTTTCTTATCTGGTTGACAGCGGTCACAGAGTAGATATTCACATTTCCTTTAAAGTTATTCCTTATGTTCCTTTTAGTCTCATTGGTCCTCCAAAAGTTGGTCCGTTGCATAAAACAGAAGCCCTCAGAATCCACACGAACAAGCCGAGTCTGTGTATTCATGCTGCATCTTTCTTTGCCTTGACCATCTGATGACATCTACGAGAAGATAACTCTTCCTCTCATTCATCTGACAAACGGTTATCATTAATGTTATTTGGTTCTTCTCCTTGTTGTCTTTAATTCTTCATACGTAAGAAATTTTAACAATTGACCTCTTGATAAAACCATTCATTTTCTGTTCTCCCGAGTTACCATTTTGCAAACTGTACAGCTATATAGAAACCCACATATTAATGATGGATAGTGGCTAGCAGTGGAACTCAAGATGTATGCTTCATTCTGTTTGGTATTCGCCAGCTGGTTATGTCTGCTCCATAGTGAGCGATATTGTTCTCATAAGTATTCGAAATTGGGACCTGTCGCTTCATATGTCATAGCGTTATCCACTAGACCACAGAGTCACGATGGGGAATTCTTGTGCTATGAGTGTGGTTTTTAATACAAGCAACAATACTATACAAAAACCTGTTAAGATTTTCACAAGTATTTATACGTAGCTGAGCTATACCTTAGCTAGTGTTGTAATAGCCTTGATTAATTATCACCTGCTAGATACTTGGAGATTGATAATCTTTGCTTAACTAGTTATCACCACTTGAATGATTTATAATTTTGTATATTGAAAGTGTTATATGTTAGTGTAGGGCCGTCTATGAAGAGTTAACGGAAAGCAGATGTTCCTGTACTTAAATTATTGGTTTAGAAATTGGTTGCCAATAACAGTGGATGGAATTTTCGTAAACTATCAGTCAAAATCTTCACTTTTATTTTATATTTAAGAGCGATTTGAAAGGTCAAACTAGTGGCTGTTATAATAAACGATCAAGTTTCTTTAATTCAGTTGCAAGGGTTATTTTTTCATAGGACTGAAAGCATAATTGGTTGTTGAAATATTAGAGATTTGTAGCTCAGGATGAGAATGATAAGTGTTTGGTGTTCTCCTAACTTTGAGGTTTTTTCTTATACATTTTGTCATCATGCAAGGTCCTTTTCCCAGTATTTACGAAGTAAGTGCTCATGAAGTTTCCTAGCCCTTAGAGTTACCTGATAATTATGTCAGTAGCGTTTGAAAACCTGACCTTTATATTTTAATGGTAAAGACTTAGACATCACGTATATATACATAAATATATGCCTTAGTGGTGTCTTCTAAAAGCCGACGTGTGGATGAGAATAGTTCACCAGAGGGTCCAGTAACTCTACCACTTTTTTCTCACTAAGGAATGAAGCACTTTCAAAGTTTACTAAGAATCAGAATCTAGAACTTCTAGATTTTTAGAAGTTATCAAACTTCAGGTGAAGAATAATTTTCTGATCAGTAAAAATAGTGGCCTTTTCAGAATTTTTAAAGTCTGTGTCAAAAGTAGGTACCTTTCAGTTTATTGCATTGCTGCTGATATAAAAATGCAGCTCAAGGTATTAGCCATATACATCTATCTAAAAAGCCCCTACTAAGGACAGCGATGAACCATTTCAGTATTTTTCCCTCCATACCGGGAAATAAGTGACGAAATATTCCATTGGTTAACAGCATGTCCATCTAGAATTATTTTATCTAAAACTCTAACATTACCTCTAAATGACATTCTCAGCTGCTGCATTCTTCGATACTGTTCTATGATGTCCCAGATATCGATGACTTGAGTGAGTTTTACAAAATACATTTAAATTCTCTATCTCAGATTCTAAATGTTTCAGCCATCTATTATTTTGACTTTTTATGCAGGTGATAGAAAAATGCAAGACTCAGATTTCTTCCTATTTAGGACCTATCAGCGTAATGTATTTGATAACCGATGAATGATGATTTCAAAAACAGCACTTATTGTTTCAAAATAAAACTGAAGACGGCAACGAAAAATCCGTACAGTAATTCTATCCCCAGTTACAAACTGACTGAATCGCATTCCCGTAAAATGAATAAGGAAAAAAACAAGGATTCACAGATAACAGGTAGTAGTTTTGCTGAGTTCATCTTCATTGTTCCTAGTGGGTTCAGGTCATTCGTAAAATACTTTAAACAGGTAACGGTATTCGTCATCAACTTCTTAGAGTTTTGATCTTCCCACCAATCATAATGTCTTTTTGTATATATAGTCCTACAGTGTGGTTACTCTCAAAAGCCACTGCAAAAATCAGCGAAAGACTTTCCCTCTGTACTATCTGTCAACTGATATTCAAAGTTATTGAGAATGTTTTTAACCCACAGATAAACAAAGTCACTATGCAGTGTCCCTTATAAAACTTGAAAAATTATAGAAGGGAAAAGATAAAACTGACCAAAAGTCACGAAATCAGCAACAAAGTTTGTCAACATCACCAAAGTGTTCGTCCAACGTAGCTGTTAAGCAACTTGAAAGATTGACGGGATGTCAATTAGCAGTAAGCTGGCATTATACTCCATCTCTGGTCCCAGAACGTGTGGAAAGTCATAGTTACAACACTGACCGTAAGGAAAATATACGAAAACTAGGTGAAGCAGGCTTAAAAACTGAGCAAAATAGTTTCAGACTCATAAATTTAATGGATATTATTTACCAGCCGACAGTTAAGCGTGGTTCCAATGTACCGACTACTTCAAAGAAGAAACGGTAGAACGTCCAACGGGTGTAAGCACCATAAGCTATAGCTGAAAATGTCTTTCCAGATAAGAGTTTGAATGAAAGACTAATATGTATTCAAGAATCTTGACTTGTAGAGTGAACCAAGGTGAAGGATAGAACCGACATCTATTGAAAACACTAGATAATTTCCACATTGTATCACAGGAAATGAAACTATTAAATATACTGACTTATGTGTACTGAAACCATGATTCATCATTAAAACACAGAAGAACTAGTTTCAGTGTCATCTGAAGTCCAAGCCCAGTCTTACTCTCAATTTTTCGATAATACGAATACTTTCCAGTTGGGATCAGTTTTGACTGACTTCCCATTCGATTTCAAACTGTGGTGAAAGATTTTGGATCCCTGGTAAAATACTTAATCAAACAAGGTCAATAAACTCACGATATCTGTAAGCTAACAGAATGCTAACCTAATGTTAACTCTGACCTTTGTGTTGATTTTATCAGCAATTTTGTCAAACAAAGAATAAAAGTTAGTGAATCAGGATTCCTGGTCCACAGTCTGAATGACACAATTAGGTGTTAGGTGATTTTCAGATTCGTGTTGTTCCCTCTGAAAACCAAAATGTACAAAAAGAAAATCATGATCTCCTTAACATAGTGACTGGTGTCGGAAAGTGGAGAGGAACGATTGATTAGCCCTATTGGTCCGTAACACTCAATAACCATGTGGAGGAGATTTGGATGCTACTTTAAAACTGGCTATTTACCAAGTTAAGTAAATGTTGATGACTAGATAGGCTGAGCTACCTAAGACGAAACGATACACATATACCACTGGTTAGCTTGTCATCAAAGGAGTACACTGATCGCTTGGTTTTTAGATAACTTCGATCTGGTCACTGCCTTCTACTGACTGATATGAATGATTCTCAAGTACCCAAATTAGTCAATAGTACACATACCCCTGGTTATGCAACGCTTTGAGGCCAATACGCTACAGTTACGGTGAATCTGCGTATATCCTGAAGAAATGAAAATATAAAAAAAAGTTACAACCAACCTTTCTTTGGCATGTTCCGAAGCAACCAGCTTCGCTTGTTTTGCAGCTGCTTCAGCTCGAAATAGAGCGTCTTCAACGCATTCCTTCAATTTTGTTTGACGCACTAAATGAAGTTTACTTTTACGATTGACTTTGTTGACTAAATTATTCGCTTGAAATTGTCCTTCATCACGTGTCCCGTTAGGATTGATAATAATACCGTAACCATGTTTCTGATTTCTAGTCCACTCGCGATATAAACAAAACCATTGGAACGTTCAGCTATCCCATAACCAGATCGTTGGTCTTGAAACCATTCACCGGCATAAACTTCAACAATACTCATAACTTTTCCCTTTTCATCTTGATTCGTTTGTTCAATATCAGCTTTTTCCCACCTGAGGTTCTGTGTTTCCAATCATCTTTTAAAGGACATTGAGAATTCTCACTTGGAGTAAGTGATTGTTTCATTCTAGGTGGTGAAGCCCTCGGTGTACTGCAAGCAGCTGTACCATTCGCATTGGTTGGTTGATTTGCTACGGAACGACCCAGTTCGATAGCAGAGTGCTGTTTTTTCAACCGACGCATAATTGCCCTGCCAATGACAGCTTTACGACTAACGCACGCCGACGCATTCGACGGTAGATTGACAGTAGAACTGTGTCGTTTCTCACATAATACAGGAGAATGACTAGTGGAAGCAGTCTTCTTACCCTGATCACTAGAAATAGTGGTAGGAACAACACCACATGTACCACTGCCGCTACCACTGTCTCCAGCACACAAAATCTCCTCATGGCTACACTTTGTTGGTGACGAGTGAGTGACTGAATTGGTGTCGGAGAATGAATTCGCTTTATAGCTGATAAATGATTTACGAACACCAAGTCCATGACGAACTCCTTTTGACCAGGCACCGGCATAGACACCTGTAGGGGTTAAAACAACGGGAGCAAGAACAACAGTAGTAATAACAAATTGGACAATTATATCATGTGAGATGAGACATGCTACTAAAATCCTATAAGTAGTTGGACGACATTCAGTATAACTCAATAAAGTATTTACCAACCGATAACGAATGATCGAAATACCGAACAGTCTTTCTATCCATTTGAAGCAACGCTCACCAGTTCATCTGCTTCCACTTAGGTTTCCGACGTCACATGTGTAGATAATACAAAAATCAGAATAAGTGTATCTTCAATAAAACTCAGGCAAACTTTTCCAGCTTATTTTCAAATTGTATCGTCAACAGTGGCCATTGTCTTAACTGAGAAGTTTTTACTTGATTGCCTATACATGCATTGGAGTTTCACAAGGAAAGTGCCTAGGCAAGGTCACAGGTTGTGACCTCCAGCATAAATGTTTCTGACTGCCTAAAATAACTAGACTACCACGCCAATCCTCTGATATTTGTCAGTTGTCACACTGAGAAATGACTGTCAAGCATTTCATTCTCCTTCAGTCAAATCCAGACTAGGCATATCCATAGAGCAAAACCATATTGTTGTAAATACCTGGAACTGGCCAGGAAACTCAGAACAACAAGTTATTATCTTAAAATGATGAGTCGAACTGAAGACTATTCTCGAAATGCCCAGCTTACTTTTTCTTACCTCTAAATTTAAAAAGTGGTGCATTTCAAAACCTTTCAGTTGAAACAACACGATGTATCTAACTACCGCTACTAAAAGGATTAAAAGGAAAGGATACAGTGCAGAGAAACTTGTTCATCTCTGTAACAGATAACTAGTTAACAACGTATTTCAATTGTAATACTTCCTCGTTACTTAAGTTTAGGAGGTATTAAACCTCCGACTACTCAAGTAAGTATTGATTGCCACAAAAGAAAAGCAAATTATCCTTAGAAACAACCAGTAACTAGCCTTCTGAAACATTCCTAATGATCTCACAGTTGCACGTAGTTGCGTCATCCTCACTACCTCACTGCCACCTAATCTAGGTATTACTAAGCACCTGGCCAGTTTTAGAATGGTTTGCAGGTTTTGACTGTCTGAGTTAGATCAGTTTCGTTAGACCACTATCCTAATTAACTGAAGTGGGTGTCTGGTATCTCAATCATCTCCAGCCAGCTAGCGGACATTATGGAACTGTTAGATTGACTTCTAACTGCTCCTATCAGTTTATACTCTATGTCTTGCTTTTTCCCATTACAAAGTTAAATCATAACGGTTATCCATACTATTTACTCTCATGAGTTTCATGTAAAATAACAGATACCTTGAGTAATGCGTTAAAGTAGCTTTTTCAACTATGATGGTCATCAACTGTGTAAGTCAAAAAATCCCCATTTTCGTCCTTTAGTAACAGAATTTTCCATCTTCGTGTTTGCTAAAACTTCGGTGATACTAACAGGAAAACTGAGCGAAATCGTTTAGGATTGTGAATGTCACTTTCTTGAGGTAAACATTAGGCTGAAAAAAGGCATAACTTGTTCAAAATAGGCGGAGTACTCAATGATACCTTGTGTGGTGGATGAGAAGCATCATTGAATTAAATGTGTAAAATAGGTTGATTTTTGAAAAGCTGACTGATTGCAAGGCAGGTTTATGTCACGAGATGGACTCAGATAAAGCATTAAAAAGTTGGCAGTACCGAACAGTTGTTCCGTTCAAGACTCCTCAAGAGTGTGGATCCGTGATATATACGGTTTGGGACAAGAGCCTTCAGTCCACAAGGAGCTCTCTAATAGGAACTGCTTCAAGGTCAGTCAGCTCATCAAAATTCTTTTAAATGTACAACAGTCCACTGCTCATAAGTGACTTGCATTGACATGTCTTTCTGAACGTTTTCATGAAAAGCGGTGATCTACGGTGCTAGCTTAGTTGAACATCAAGGTAGACATACTGATGTCATTAGATAACAGTCATTCTATATTACAAATTGACAAAAAGTGTAAAACGTAAGCCGGGAGCTTCAAAATGTTACTGACCATACAAACCATCAACTAATGTCACTGAATAACTATCTTCACAGGTAACTTAGATAACTTTACAGATCATGGCTTCTCATCAGAACCTTGGGAATTCATAAGAAATGGACACAGGAACAACTAGACTTTGAACCAGTAGCAGAATGTTTACGTACTCACTGGGAGAACTGACAGTTTTCATTGTGCATTGCTGAAAAATCCTAAACTGCAGTAAAACAGCTATTTAATGCTTCATAGTTTTCAATGCTTCTCTACCGAATGTCCAATTCTGGTGAAAACTGCATTGAAATGAATTGGAAAGATAACCATTCTCAACTACCAAAGGTGAAATGTTTCTTGTTCACTTAGGTATACATATCTATTGAATGCAAGAAGTCCAGAATTATCAGTTAAATCTTGCGTCTTGAATTCTACTGCTAGCCAGTATCCCTCATTAGTATACTGCAGCTTGCTTAAAAATTGAAAAAACTTCCTTTAAAGACCAAAATAGCCATAATGTTTCCAGAACTGGTCATCTTTGGGCGTACGTTTCACGTGATATGAAGGCTATTAAAGGTGAGCAAATCCCCATTATAGGTAAAAAGGTGCGATCTTTCACAATCCACTGTTAATTCATGTCATTCAACTTAGTGACAACACTATACTAGGTTGGTAGATTTTGAGGTGGCCTAAAGACTACGTTGGTTACCCTCTAATGAAAATTCGTTCAGATTATCAAATCACAAAGGAAATCATTTCCGATTTAAGTAGCTCAGTGGTTAAGCCTGCGAATAAAGCACTGCTTCTGTATGTCTCTGCGGGAGCTGGAGTTCTTTGATTACAAGCAAGAGATATAGATGAGAAGAGGTCTCTTGTCTATTGACTTCTAACTTCCAGCACCGTCATCAACCTTATAAAACGCGTTTTTAAATTATCTACTGAAAAATTTCATTTGGATCAAGGACCAAGTGTCACCTACTTCCGTCGGCACAAGTTTCAACACCGAAACCTTCGTATCGATTTAGGCTCCAACTTCCTTCATACTTTGCTTGACTGTTAATCGATGTTTTTACACCATACTGACCAAAAGCACCTGCGTTGAATTCTCCCTGATAAATGCATCTCCCTCTAACTTGTACACCATCACCATGACGTTTCCCTTTGATCCAAGTTCCAGCGTACATATTTCCATTTGGCCACAAGTAGACACCACATGTTTCAAAGCCTAGATTCCATTCACCAGAATATTCACCGACGCCATTTGGTCCTGTAGCTAAACCAAGCCCATGCGCCGAACCTTGATACCAATTTCCAATATATGTCCCACCATCGTCAAAATCAAAACGCCCACCGTCTGTATTCATTAGTCATTAACTATTCAAATTGGTGCCTGAAATTTTGTTGAGTTCATTTTCAACACATTTATACATTTGTCTTGACGTCTTCATAACAGTTTGAATTTGATATGTCACATTCTAGGAGAGATCTGAAAGATTTTTAAATGGAGAGACAGACATGCATATACTCAGTAATAATAATAGAAATGATGATGGTTATGATAATAATGACATTTATAATAACGGACGTCTATCATTTCGATCCAGCCAATGACGGGAAGTTACAAGCAATGATACAAAAATTATAACCGTCACACGAGGAATGGCTATTTTAACTTAGTGATGCTTCTGTGTTTGAAACAGTCTGTCCTGGGTTCAGGTTCTACTGAAAAAAAATTAGTTACTAGGATGCACATCCATCCAGCTGTTGAATCCCAAACGGGACGAAACTTTAACCCTGGATCCCACTGCTAGCCACGAGCCATCATAACTATCAAATAATGATAGTAAAAAATAATGGTGACAGTCAACACTTTATTCTAGACAGCAATTTCGGTACATTATTGAATTCTCAGTGTGCAATATTTCAAAAAATTTACTCCTTGTACAACTTTTCAGAAATCAAAATTCATTCAGCAACCTTTTGCACATTGTTGCCTTAGACAGTGAGACATATCTATTTTGCAATGGCTAATGATGCTAACTGTCCGCTCAAGCTTAGGCAGGTGCAGTGATACTACAGCCAGTAACCTGTTGGTTAGAAGTCAACTCCTTTTACCAATGAGCCATAAATCCACAATATTTTCAAGTTATGAAATTATCGGCTTAAAGTGGTGGTGAATAGAAGGACCTGGATCAGTTTTCCGATGGAGATTCAGTCAGCTACCATGAAAATCTGCAGTTCTTACTGGTTTAATAATGATTTATTGTTGTGAGCTAATAGGATTATCGTCAGCCACTAGGGTGTTTTCTATCAATTTCATTATGAACTTGCAAAGCAGTGGAAAATTTTCGGTAGCTTACGGTTTAGATAGGTCATAAACTAAAAAACGAAACAGCAAACTGTCGCACAAATACTAAATTTGTGCTTCTTGTCACAATCAACATATGTTACATATCAAAATGCGCAATTTTTGAAAATCGATCAAATGCTTGAGTCCAGTCAAAAATCAATTTAAGACTAGGTAGATTATTAAACATTGAATGTTGACGGCGATCAAAATGATTTTACGTGATGTTGGCTGACATTTACGTTTAAAACGATAGATAGTAGTGAAGTGAAATAGTCTGAAATAAAAACGAATCAACAATTTTCAAAGTGTACAACAGATGTTAACATTTCTTAGATCAAAGTGGTTTTCTTTTAGTCAGTGTTGTCATTGAGGCTTCTGTTTGATACCACCTGAGTCAAGTTCATAGTTCTTCATATCTGATGCAGAAACATATCATGAACTGACAAAATATAATGCTACTAAGCCACACTGGCAGTTGCTAGTTGAGGGTATCGGAAGACTAGCCAAGAAGGTCAAAATTAAACTAGTACGGAACAGCAATCGAGTGCTAACAAGCTTACAGTTGTTCTCTAAGACAGGTTTACTCGTGATAAAATCTGCTTCCACATTTGAATCAGCCTAGTATGCCTTTGCTAATAATTCTGCTGTAAGTAGGACATGCATCTTTTTAAAAATCTTATAGGAAACTAACTAAAGTTATAACTGAAACCGGTCTAACTGACAGCAGGATTCGACGTAGAAGCCTTAGTATTCCCGGTTCATTACTTCACCGACAGAGCTACATGACCTAACTACTATTAATGTACTTATTTCACATGAGTTACCGAGGGTTTTGGTGATCTGTCATGGGAAGCAGTAACGCTTAACAGTTCACTGCAAATCATCAAGCTAGATGACTAGCCAGGCTTTTTTCAATCCAATCCAGATACTGTTGAGTCATAGACAAGGATTAACTAACTGATTTTTAATTAGTCTATTTGAGATAGCCATAGCTCGATCACTTTATCCTAATGTAAATGGGTGTTGACTGTTACTGAACTACGCAAAAATAGAACATTTAATACGATATTTAGAGATCTTACACCGTATGCAATAGTTTGTTAGTTCTCCAGCACAAGAGAGGGTTGAACTTCGTCTAATCAAGTATCACTTTCAAGTTCTCTCTTAATATATTGCAGTTTATTTATTTTAAATACGATCTACTTATAAGAGTTATCTAGAGACGGAAATGTTGTCAAAGATATAGAAGTTGACCTACGGTAGAGCACTGAAGAATATGGATGCTGGTTACAAGGATTCCTTAAGGCCGTTGTTTCGTATCAATCGACAGTATTTTACTTAATGGGGAGCGAAACTCGATATGCTGATATAGTTAACTATCCACTAAATTAAGTTAACGCAGTATTCCATCAGATTCTTCAGGTATATTTAAAATTCGGTAATTGAAAAGCACTAGAATCACATCAGAGGGAAACTACTGTCAGAATCACAACTTCTGAAAGCTGCCAATCTCATTTAAGCCATCAAGTCTTACCTGCACAAGACAAGACAAGGCGAAAAGATTGGTTGACTGAAGCTAGAAACTGGTGAAATTCAGTTCAGAAATATGATATAGAGTAAACTTCAAAATCCAAACTGAGAAGAGCTTTAAAATGTGAACCACATGACTTCGACCAAACACCTAGACCGTTATGTCTCCGAACAGATACTCAATGTACTTAGGTTGGATGCCGAGTGGTGCTGCTCACAATTACCATTTATGAGTCTTAAAAAAGGATGACAATAGCAGTCTAGTGTTCCTTAATTTTCACCAGTCGTTTAGTCAGTGTCAGTCTGTAATGGTAAAAAACCACTAGGAAAAGCGTTCAGATCTTTTCATGCCGACAAACTGAACTTCGGAACTATTCTAAATCTTGATAACACAACTGGTTACTTTCTGTTGTTAACTAGTTTGACTGAACTGATCCGCCCTTGCTGAAGCATACATTTTTGTATCGATACTTTTATAAATCCAGTAACTTTATTTTGAAGCTAAGCTTAAAGAATGGGGACCGACAACATTCACTAAGAGCCATTCTATCCAGCCAATGACCCTCGAATAGGACAAAATACGCCTCAAGGACTCCATAGCTGGCCACTATTCAGCCTTCATACTGATTAATGGTCTCCGCTGTCCATCAGAATGTAGTACAGTGGTGCCTAATTATTTAGCCACTGACTGTAAACATGACGTTTGACAACAAGATGGCAGTGTGCACTTCGTATTTACAGCCGACCTAGTTATGTAGGCAAGGGTCAGAAAAGTTGAATGATATTCATGTTCCCACTATTTGGTCTTTGTAGACGACTGTGTTGTTTTGTCCACTCATAAATTCCTTAAGGATAGAAACTAGGAAGCACGCTCTCAACTCATAACATAACTACTGAGTTAGTTGGTTAAAGCCCGGTAATCCACATTTACGGGCTTCATTCAAATCGTGATGTATCTTAATCATCGTCATCATTTAGTATCAACAGTCATCACTTTTGACTTGTTTGAACAAATATGCCCGACACGCTCTAATCGGTCTTCATCGCGAATGACAATTTGGAAACCCTGAACAAGTGTCTCATTCCAGTTTGAGATATCTTAGCAGTATCCACTTGTGGCACTTCCAACAAACTACAGACATGCATCGCATCAAAAGCTGCCTACGCTTGCTGCTGAAGATCAGATGGACAGAATAATAAGAATAAGCAACAAATAACTCTGGGAACTAACCAGCCAAAAACCTATCGTCCAACAAATATGCAGTGGAAGAAAGTGGAGATGGATTGGATTGGGCATACACTGAGAAGGCCGACTGGGGACATCATGCGCCAGGTCAGTCCGTCGAATGGAATCCAAATGGGAAACGAGGAGTTGGGCGTTTGAGGCGAGGGTGACATGGAGGAGATAGTGTGAGGAAGAAATAAAAGCTTGTGGGCAGTCTTGGAGCGAGGTCCGAAAGACTGAAGAGAAGAGAGTGAAATAGAGGGGTGCTACTGAAGTCCTATGTTCCAAAAGGAACCTAAGGGAAAAATAATAATAATATTAATTCACCTCTGACCGATTACTGGAATATGACTATCCCAATATTCATCAACTAAAAATTGACATGAACAGCGAGTCTAATTTTTATCAATATGGGAGTAGAAGAACTTAGGACTATGGAATATTGTAATTCCATTTTAAAATATCATAAAGTAAAACAGTATTGTTCACTGGATAGCGTTTCGGACATAATTTATTGTCCATATTCACATAATTTGACTCCATAACTATGAGACACGGTTTATTTAGTCCCAATTCTCTCCCCTTCTCTGTGATCAGGGCGGTAGAATTTTTCGCATATCCGGAACAGGTGTGGAGTCATTATTCCCGTTACATGCATTAGGTGCTGATTCGATCAACAAAGATTCGCTTATCAATCTCTCCTTCCATTAAACTAAGCTAGTTTTTATTACAGTCGCTCTATCCCACCATATTGTGTGACTGTGTACAGTTGCATGCATAGCTATAGACGAACTTTTCTTTAAATTCTTTATTGTACTACGATTGACTAATCTTGATGTAGTTAACCTTTTATGATTGAATAACCTTATTTACTCTGATCAACTACTTTGATCTATACATTTGACCTCCAAATCATTGTAAGGGACTTGATAAATCAAATTATTTTACCTGATTGCATCGATAGGGTCTTCTAGCCTACACAACCTGTTTCTAAGCAAGTTTGTCGGTTCCAGTGCCACTCTAATTCCATTCTTATTGTGAGTTCTTCGTAACGCTTCAGTGGTCTCTTCTTTGTATGGTAGCACACTAGAAGCTATGAGTTCTCTCTTCACCCTATCACTACCATTACTATTATCAATAGAATTATAATTAATAGCATCTGTATTACAACTACTGTTTCTGATCATATTTTCTTTCGATTTGTCATGAATTTATTGATAGATTTAGGTGGGTAAATATTGAGATGTAAGGTATTCATGATGTGTCTAATTTCTTGTTATAGATTTTCTGTCTTACTAGTAGGCTTGTTTCCTTATTACTCAGGCATTTAACTGAGATGGGATGATCTGATTTGAAGTCTGAGTAACGTTTCGAGTAGGGA